TGTTTGTTGCCCATGCTGCATGCATTGGTGTAGAGGCACTTCATCTGGGCTGTTGGTGCCATGTCACCTTCTTAGAGGAACACACCTTAATTCCTTTGAGGTGTTTCACCAGTGTTTTGCTCTTGGCTCCTGTTACCTCAGGAGCCCCTGGCTCATTTCTGTAAGACTTCCAGTGTGCTCCAGTGTACCCAGCATGTCTGAGAGCAACAGGCTGAGGGCTCTGGCTGGCACCCTGTCCCTCTAACCTTGGCATGTCATCCCACAGTTTTGTCATGGGCAAGCCTGATATTCCCCTACCCCTTCAAGTCTAGTTTAAGTGATGTTCCTAGTTTAAGTGATGTTCAACTGAAATTTCTTTAGAGTGAGCTTTGTCACAGAGTGAAACTAGTTTTGGTTCCAAAGTATCGATTCATCTGCAGAAGATAGGGAGGAGCTGTTGGTTAAGATGTTAGTATCCATACACATTTCAATTTCGTTTGCAAGTGAATAATGGGATATATGATTTCCTGACATTACAAGTGGGATTTAGATGCCTGAACATCAATGTTTCTTGTACTGTAGATGTTGTCAGTTATCCTGTGCTATGGTATGAACCTCCCATGGGTCCTTCTTGTGTCATACATGCCAGTACAACGTGGATGTTGCAGATATCCCAGGGACTAAATGGAAGCATCCAAATTTTATCTTAACTAAACTTAAAAGGGTTTATTGTGAGGGGGGTCTTCTGGGAAAATATCTTAATTTTCCAATCATTGCCTTCATTGTTGTCATAAAACTGTCTGTTTTTTTAATTGGTTTTGTGTTGTGGGTGTTTTTTGTGGGGGTTTGGGGTTTTTTTGGTGTTATTCACGATACATATATGTGTCATTGTCCTTTACCATGTTCTTTGATCAGCAATCAAGTTACAGTCAATAATCAGGTTTCAAGTGTAAATTAAGAAACAAAAAACACTTTGAGGTAGGTGCCTTCACTGCTTGGGACAATTGTTTTGCAATGAAAACTGGTAGATAGAATTCTATGTGTTTTGTTATTTACAGCTTTTACTTTTGTTGCAAGACATTGGGAAAATAAGAAACTTCCTGAAAAGAAATTGAACATGAGACTTTTTGGAGGAGGGGAGAAGCACCTTTTTTTTTTCCTAGTGTGAAAAAAACAATCAACCAAAACATGTGTTGTGTGGTTGATACTCTAGAGGGAAGGGATGCCATCCAGAGGGAGCTGGACAGGCTAGAGAGGTGGGCCTGTGTGAACCTCATGAAGTTCAACAAGGCCAAGTGTAAGGTCCTGCACCTGGGTTTGGGCAATCCCAAACACAGATACAGGCTGAACGATGAGTGGATTGGGAGCAGTGGAGAAGGACTTGGGGGCGTCAGTTGATGAAAGACTGAATCCGTCAGTGTGCGGCAGTGCGTGCTAGCAGCCCAGAAAGCCAACTGTATTGTGGGCTGCGTCCAAAGCAGTGTGGCCAGCAGGTTGAGGTAGGTGATTCTGCCCCTCTACCCTGCTCTGGTGAGACCTCGCCTGGAGTACTGTGTCCAGCTCTGGAGCCGTCAGCACAAAAAAGACATGGACCTGTTGGAGCGGGTCCAGAGAGGCTACAAAAATGATCTGAGGGCGTGGAGCACCTCTCCTATGAGGACAGGCTGAGAGAGCTGGGGTTGTTCAGCCTGGAGAAGGGAAGGCTGCGGGGAGACCTTATTGCAGCCTTCCAGTACTTAAAGGGGGCCTACAGGAAAGACGATAAGGGACTCTTTTTATCAGGCAGTGTAGTGATAGGACGAGGGGTAATGGTTTTAAACTGAAAGAGGGTAGATTTAGATTGGATATTAGGAAAAAATTCTTTACCATGAGGGTGGTGAGACACTGGAACCGGTTGCCCAGAGGAGCTGTGGATGCCCCCTCCCTGGAAGTGTTCAAGGTCAAGGTTGGATGAGGCTCTGAGCAACCTGACCTAGTTAAAGATGTCCCTGCTTATTGCAGAGGGGTTGGAACTAGCTGATCTTTAAGGTTCCTTCCAACCCAATCCACCTTATGATTCTATGTATTTTACAACATGTACAGTGCATACATGTATGCACAATTAGTACCTTGAACATAACTCAGGAATTCAGATTTTTTTCTATTAAGCCAAGTTCATAACTAGGTTCATGAAACAGTTGGATAGTTTCACTTTTTATAAAGTGAAATATCTTTAGGATGTTCTAACACTGTTTATATGATATAAGGAACAGCTTAACTTCTTATTTTAAAGATGTTTGTACTAGGAGTAGGGACATATTTTTAAATCCAGGATTAAAATATTGTTGTAAAAATAGACATTCTGATACCATTCTGAAGCAAGTATGGTTCTTTCCTATATGTTATGTAACAGCTTTGCGCACTTTTGTGTGCACCTTTAGCTGCTTGACAAAACTTTTGATTGCTTAAGGGAGGAAGGAGATGAGTGCAGGTGGTATAGATGGGAACATTTAATTTACTAGTGAGATGCACAACATTTTTTGCTTTGGTGGAACAGCACCCTCCTGCAGGATGGCTTGAATCAGATCTGGTGTAGTGATCAGGGTGCATTCAGTCATAGCAGAGGTAATTTTGATGGCCTGCTTAAGGTAGGTCTCCTGTCCTGATACTCATGAAGTGTCTGTTCATATCTTTACCAGTGTCATAGGTCCCCAGGTCAAGCAAAACCTGGAGGTAGATATATGTAGGCCTCATCCATCTGCTCCTTTCAGCAGTCTTCCTGCTAAAAAACTCTGAGTTGTGTGACTGGAAGCTGTGGCTTCCTCTGCCTTCTACCCCACATGGTCACTGAAATATTTCCCTTGAGCAAACTTGGCTGCTTTCTGGAAAAAAGCTCTAGAAGGTTATCCTAACCTGGTGTCCCTCAACAAACATTGGTACATCTCAACAGACACATTGACTGATGTTTGTAACTTCCAGGCATCTTGGAGACCCCCAAAAGCAGGTTGCACCTTTGTAAAACCTTCTGTCAGTTTTTTGCATGAAGACAACAAACCAGGCTGAAGTTGTAAATGCAGATAAAAATGTGAATGAAAGCAGCTTGGAGTGTTTTCCAGTGTCAGTGTTCATGAAGAAGCAGAAGTTACCTGTCGGGGAGCTTTGTCAAGCTGTACATTGAACACTTCTGTTCATTCCCATCTCCCTGGGAATACTTGCATGCTGCCTGGCTTCTGCAGGTGGGAGGAAGCTATGGGCTGTGTAAGCATACACTGCTGTTCATATTCTGTGTGAAGTGGCATTTGCCCTTTAGGTACTGCACAGACAGAAGGTTTCCAGATCTCATTCATAGAATCATAGAATGATTTGGGTTGGAAGGGACCTTTAGACATCATTTAGCCCAGTTGCGATTGTCTGTGACACATGCACAGTGGCTTGTTTTACTATGTGACACGTGATGCAGGGGCATGTGTCTGGAGAGTCTATTTTGAAGACTTTGCTGCTGAATAACTGTCTTCTAAGTAGAACTCGTATTTTGTCTATATGTCTCCTGCAAGCTGCTGAGCTTGAAGACACTGCACATGTGTTGCAGAACAGGATTCACATGTTGCAGAACAGATTGGACTAATGATTAAGAAAAATTGGTTACAGTTAAATGAAAACAAATTCAGAGATCTACACCAAGGAATGCAGCGAGAACACGAGCCTTGTAGCTAGAGTGTATCATGAAATAACTGTGTCGATTTATTCTGTAGTTAGGAAAGATGCACATCATGCTGAACATGTAAAGAAATACTGTCTGTAGGGCACACCAAGATCCCATAAAGCAGGATTTTTGTAAAAATAATTCTAGGCACTGTGTTTTGTTAGTTATGGGCAAATTAGAAACTCAAGAGGACAGCACAAGTGATCAGAAGTTTGGGAACCAAGACTCAGGATTTGGGCTGGGGAGCAAGGTTTGTATGATCTAGAGCAGTGGTTTTCAGCTTTTTTCCTTTCCAAATACAGTGTTTTTTCTATGTTTGGAGTTGCAGACCAAATACAGAGCTTTTTAAAGCCTATAGGTACTAAGACTCCTCTTCAGAGTTATTTCTGTGGCCCCTTGGAAGCACCTCACTGACCTCAGGGTGAAAACTACAGATCTGTGGAAGAGAAGTTTGAGGAAAGGGAAGGAGAAAAATGAATTCGGAGATTGTCTAAGAGAAAAAGACAAAAAGCCATTCCCTGCATTCTTAGTGGTGTGAGACTAGAACAGCAAGCTTAAACTGCAACACAGAAGGATTGTTTCACATAATAAAACAGTTTTTTAATAACTTAATGACACACACCTAGAGAAGCTGCAGAAAGTTGGTATGTTAGCGGAAAAGGTAGACAAATACTTGGTGGACAGGAGGAAGATGACCTTGATGATTTCTGTGAGTTGGATATAACAGCTCACATAATCATATTTAAAGTAACCGGAGTTGCTTTGCTCATAATGAATACTGCTGGAGAAATACTGGTTTATTCCTGAAAGGTGACCACATTTCCACAGTGGATTACTTTACTACTTTGTGTGGAAGTACATCCTACGGAATGGGCTTGGACACATCAACTACAAAACACTGGGGATGCTCATGGGCCTCTTTGGGAGATGCATGTGCTCTGCTTCTCAGGGGCTGTAGTCCAAAGTGATAGATGTCCGCAATTAAATGTGCTGTGCAGCAGTGAGGTGAAAAAATACTCTACACCTTCTGTGTAAAGCAGCTTTATTGTAATATCTTAGGTGTCAGAGTTGCCTTCTTGTTTTTCTCTTGCCTGCCCATGACATATGTTCTTCTTTATTAGGTAACGCATTTACAACACATTGGTACAAGCTGCAAGTTTTAAAAGGTGTTTATGATTACTTTTATTAGCTGCATTTGCAGGTTACTTTAGGAGCCACCTAGTGGTACACTAATCCTAATAAGATGTGTGTAATAACATAGTATCTGTAGTTGTAACCAAGATATGCTCAAGATGTGTGTGCACCCATGTATAAATATAATTAACTTTTGGTTTTTCAGCTACAAGAAGAAAGATGCAGATTTGTCTGTGGCTCAGGGTCGCATTAAGGATCTTGAAGTGCTGTTCCATAGAAGTGAAGCAGAACTCAATACTGTCCTGAATGAGAAACGCAGTCTGGAAGCAGAGGTGGCCGATTTGCGTGCCCAGCTGGCTAAGGTATGGCAGCGAATACTTCCTTGCTTTAGCATAGGAGAGGCTGTGTATTGTAAAACTTGTTACTTTTCTTTGCAGTTAGTTTATAGTCTGAACGTCATTGATCCAGCTCACTTCCCACTGTACCTTTGCCTGCCCCTCTTGGATATAAAACTGAATTGTAAGAAATCTCTGTAAAACAAGCAAAGCAACATGGCCTGTTAGAAATTTTGCTAGTCAAAAGCTTTTATTTAAATTTTTCTCGTAAGTGTTTCTATATATGAGCTAACAGGTTACTAAATATTGTCCTTTGTAAGGTCCTGCATAATTTTAGTTATGCTGGAGTACCCAGTAGGACTATGCTAGCAAGAAAAAGAAGAACATGCAACATACTGTGCTTGAGGATTTAATAATCCTCAGCTCCATTATCATACTGTATTGAAATAATCCTACATTTTAAATAACTGGTATACAAATATGAAAGCTTGTTTTAAATATTCATAAGCACACACCCCCTCTTTCTCTTTTTTGTTGGGTGTTTTGTTTTTTTTTTTTTTTGGAAAATCAGTGGTTTGACTTTAGATTTGTTGTAAATAATTAGTCCAAATATGTCAAATGAAGACCATAAAGGGATTATGGGGATGGAAAACAGGGATCCAGACAAAATTAAATCTTTATCTTTAAAATTCTTTACTAGGCTGAAGATGGTCATGCTGTGGCTAAGAAGCAGTTGGAGAAGGAAACACTCATGCGTGTTGACCTGGAGAATCGGTGCCAGAGCTTGCAAGAGGATCTGGATTTCAGGAAGAATGTGTTTGAGGAGGTATTACCAACCTAGTAATCTCATCATAGTCTGAAGTTTATGTAGATTTTATTCAAACTGACTATAAGCAATTACTAACTAGCCTAGGTAAGGAAAATCAGTATTATCCTTGCTATAAATGGGTTGAGTAATAAAATAGTTAAAGGTTTTGCAAGAGTTAATGGTAAATCAGTGGTGGAGCTGGCATGAGAGCCAATTGACAAGAGTATTCTTCCATGGGCAGGTGAGCTAATGTAGCAGCTGACTGCTGTGGGAAAGGGAAAGTCTTGTTCCCTCTCTCTGGGTCTGGTTGCATGTTCTTGCTCCTTACTTGCACTGACTTTGGTTGTTGGACCTGACTATAACCTGTTTCCATTGACGAGAACAGTATGCGATTACAGTATGCTGTAGGGCCTTAAAATAGCTTTGCTTCCTGAGGAGAATTCTGTTGCTACTGACTGAAGGTGAAGCTAAATGAGACAGCAGAAGCTAATCTTAAAGCATGCTATGCTGAAGTGGAGGTGTTCCTTTAGCCAACCCTGGAACTCTTTGATTCTTGTATGGAGCAATTCAACACACAAACGTAAAAAAGGAATTGGTTTCCTTTAGGTTAGTGAATTCATTTGATTCAGTGAAGGGTCTAAAGCTCCATTAGAATTAGAACATCACGATTGGGAGTGTGGCAAGCAAAGCCTGCTTATTCTAGTGGTGTTGAACTGCTAGACCAGCTCAGCCCTTCACCTGATACTTTGTAGTCCTCGATGATATTTTTGTGGCCTCCCGAGGGGTCATTGCCTACAGTTACTGAGAGACTGCTGCTTGCTAGTTTTCCTGGCATAAAAATTCATCGCAGAAAGGAAAGCTTCTTCCAGATCACATCAGGGCACGTTTCTATGAGTAGAAGGGCATGTTTCTAAGGGTCTGGTTTTAGATGTAGAGCGTTTCTGCAAAACAACTTGTAAAGTTGCTCTGAACTTGTGTTAGCCTGCTATGACTCCAGTTTAGGCATGCAAAGTGAACCTTGCTTCACTTGCCTGCTATTCTTCTTCGTGGCCCTGCTGCTACCTTCAGGCCTCCTCCCAGTACTTAGAATTGTTCCCTTGTTGTTTGCCCTACCCTGAAGGGAGAAATTGTTTCTTTCTCATACCATGCTTTCAGGCCTGGCTAGGTCAACGTAGAGAAGAGCTCAACATAACTGCATGAGTAAGTCTTACCTCACTAGTTTGGGACCGGTGTTCTAGGCACAGAGAACTTGTGCTTCTCTAAAAATGATAATTTCTTAGTATAAACTCTGACCAGAAAAAATTAGTCTTCAGGATTGCTTGGGTTGTTACATTATTACTAGCATAATCAAAATCAATGAGTAGAGGTCATCCAGTATATCAAAAAAGAGAGATGATCTGCATGTGCTTAAAAGTGAAATTTGAAGATGCGGTTTTTCTCTATAATGATTATTTTTTCAATAGATGTAATGGTCACAAAAGGTGTTTATTTTTATCTGACTCCTTGTAGACTGCTATTGTAATGCAGGCATGTATATTGAGAAGGGTCTGTAGTGCAGCACATGGAATCTCTCTTTGCTATGTGAAAATTGTTTTCCTCTCCCCCCTCCGCCCATTTTGACTTCTGCAGCATAAACCAGCTCCTTACTTAAACTGTATACGGATATTTTTAAACCTGTTTTTAAGTCGGATCACTTAAGAATTATATCCTGTCAAATGAGAATAGTAACTTGCACCTGTTAGTACATGCAGCAATTCTTAGGCTTAAATGCCTTTAGTACTGTGGCTCCTATATACTAAATAATTAGTACTGAAATAGTTAATTGTTTCTGAATGTAATTGCTGTACTGTTTACCCTAATGTGGGAATTTGTCCCTGTTTTTGTGTGTGTAGGAAATAAAGGAAACAAGAAAACGACATGAACATCGTTTGGTCGAGGTGGACACTAGTCGCCAACAGGAGTATGAATCCAAAATGACTCAGGCCCTGGAGGATCTGCGAAATCAACATGATGAACAAGTCAAACTGTACAAAATGGAGCTTGAGCAGACCTATCAGGCTAAGGTAACTGCTGCTATCCACAGCACTGTCTGACAGAAGTCCAGTTGGTGTGGTAAAACCATTTCCATAAGCCCTACTGTCTTTAAGGAGACAATTAATTATAATTTGAAGAAGCTTTGTCCCAGTGTTCAAATGCCTCCTCTGGTGCTTGTGTGCAGATGCATTTCCTGGGAGGCTATAGCCGGAGGTAATAGCTAGGAATAGCTTTAGCCAAGAAAGGCCAGTTTGTGAGAAAACACATAGAACTGTTGATCACTGTGGAGGACGCAGTGGGAATAGTGGATGTCACACAATAGCTGATTAGACAATGTCTTCTGATACAAGGGGGGGTTTTTTTCTTGGTATCAGTAGATCCAGTTCTTCCTCCAAAATGGAGGTGGTGGAGACTTGCAATAGGTGCAGTACTTTGGCTCTAAGAAGCTGACTACGTGGGGGGATGGGCTGGAGAGCTTGGGGAGTGGCTGCATTTCAATACAGGCTTTTGCCTGGATGCAGTGATCTTGCAAAATAATATGGACACACTGAGAGGGGTTCCATGTCTAAGGTTGCATTGTTACTTTACTCTTACTGTGGCCTTTGCAATGTTCTTACTAGCCACAATACTCTTTTAAATGAGTGCAAGTCTTACCACATTTCAATGATCTAAGTTAGTTCTGGAAAACTACTAGATGTAGTTGTGGTTTCACTGGTGGTGGGGAAACTTCAGGCAAGGTATTGGACTTTTTTTTTTAACAGCTTTGGTGATGAAAACCATGGTATATAAATTGGAAATAATACAATCATAGAATGGTTTGGGTTGGAAGGGACCTTTAAAGGTCCTCTAGGCCAACCCCCCTGCAGTAGGCAGGGATATGTTCAACTAGATCAGGTTGCTCAGAGCCCCATCCAACCTGATCTTGAACGTTTCTGGGGTGGGGCATCTGCCACCTCTCTGGGTGACCTGTTCCAGTGTTTTACCACCCTCATTGTAAAAAAAATTTTTTCCTTATATCTAGTCTGAATCTACCCTCTTTTAGTTTAAAACCGTTACCCCTTGTCCTATTGCAACAGGCCCTACTAAAAAGTCTGTCCCCATCTTTCTTATAAGCCCCCTTGAAGTATTGAAAGGCCGCAATAGCATCTCCCCGCAGCCTTCTCTTCTGCAGGCTGAACAACCCCAACTCTCTCAGCCTTTCTTCATAGGAGAGGTGTTCCAGTTCTCTGATCATTTTTGTGGCCCTCCTCTGGACCTGCTCCAACAGGTCCATGTCTTACTTGTACTGAGGACTCCAGAGCTGGATGCAGTACTCCAGGTGGGGTCTCACCAGAGCAGAGCAGAGTGAATGTAGGAGTAATTTAATCCAGGAGAATGCTGCTTAAACTTCTTACAAATATTTGCACTCTTTTGGTTTATCTGCCTATTGTTGTGGATGGGTGGAATGCACCTCACTGAAAAGAGAGAAGCAGCAATATGTTTTATTGAGGTAAAATCATAATTTGACAGAGTTCAATAAGTTTGATGGAATTTAACAAAACTTAACAGGGGCTTGACAAGGTTCAATAAGTTTGATGGCAGGATTCAGCTTATTAATTACTGCATGGAAGGAGCATACAAAGGAAAATTGAGGTAGAATGATTCACACAGGGACCGGGGACACAAAGAGTAAGGAGAACCCTCCCATTGAGTCACGAGGTTCACAGTGGACCCCCTTGCTTTCTAAACTCCTTTTGGAGCCTAGATGTGGCTGGATCCAATTTTAGTCTGACGTGGTTAATGGTTTATGTCTAATGGAATTATCCATACAGTGTTTATAATAATATTGAGTAGCTACATGGATTAGTTATAGAATCATAGAATCATAGAATCGTTTAGGTTGGAAAAGACCTTTAAGATCATCCAGTCCAACCATTAACCTAACACAAACAAGTCCACCACTAAACCAATTAAAGGTAGAGTAGCAATTTTGTGTTTCCTGGCTTGGTGGCTGGATTATTTATAATGAAAGTAAAACCTATGCTTCATAGTATTAAATTCAGCATGCTATCAGTCACTTGCCGAGGATCTGTTGTGGGTAAGGGATCTCTCCACTTTGGGTAATGAATGATTTCTTAGTCTCCAGTAAGGAATCTCTAACCTTGGGAGGCTCAAGGGGAGAGTCACCTGGCATGCAGTCCAGCTGCTGTTCAGGGAGTGCTCAAATTGGGCCCATCCTGGTGGTAATATTTATAAGGCGAAGTAGTTGGCTGCTAGTCAGTAGTATAGACAAGATAGATGTCTTCATTTTAGCTGTGATATCTTATTCTGTACTTTGGTTATATCACACTTTGGGTTTCAAAACCACCTTTTGAAATGTTTTTCAAGACACCTTCAGTCCCCTGTACGTGAGCTAGGGGCTTTCCAGTTCACAAGTTCACCCCAAGGATGTGAGGCCTGTTGCTCCTTAGTAATCCTGAACCAAACTATGGCTAGCGGTCAAGTGTATCCATCACACCTGCGCAGATCCTGAGTTAGCAAATCCCAGTTCATCCAGCACTGGGGACATGGGAGGAGTAGCAGCTTTGTTATTGGTACAACTGCTGTTTACAGGTTTGGGGTTTTTTTCATACTCACTGCCCTACCTGAAGCCAATTAGGTAGCTGCCAGTTTTCTGGTTATTGAAAATACTTGCCAATAATTACAGCCACTTCTAATTCTCTTGTGGTCGAGAAATTACAGTGCTGCTAACATTGTTCTCCCCCACCCTTCACTGAGACTCCCTTTGAATTCTGTGGTTTGATGATTTACTTTTGAGAAAACACTGATCTACAAATATTTAACTATTTCTTAAAGCAGCAACAATTTAGATAATAGATACTAAAAACCAAAATTAAGTACAGTTAGCAGTCTTGGCATTATTCACAGAAGTTAGGAACATATGATAATTTTATACAAGATATTTGGATTGACATGGCACAGTCTGAAGAAGATGCTGGGGGGGGTGGGGAGGGAAAGGTCTGCAAAATACAGACTTAGAGAACAAAAAAGTGACAGGATTTGAACAGGGGGATGAACAAATTAAGGGCTTCCCCCTCCCACCCCCCCAAAGGATGGTGGTTGTTATGGATGAAGTTGGAATGCAAAGGGAAAAGCTGGCTTAGCTGTGAACTTAATTCTGTGGATTTCTGGATAAAGATGTGTCCCTGTTCAGAGCGAACCTGAACTGTTAAGGAATATGATGTCAAAGCGGATTGTTAAGTTTAGCTACTGAACTTATCCAGGATGAGAGGGTCTTGGGTAAAAGCTCACTTCCTGCTCTGACCATGATCTTTTGATAATAAGCAATAGAAATTCTAAATCTGATGATTTGGCACTATGCCAGCATGACTGTAAGGAAGTGAATCATTGTCAGCATTCAAATAATTTTTAATTTTAAACTTTACAAGAAGTAATGGAGTATATATTTGACTTGAAGTTCCTTCAAAACCCTTAGCCCAAAGAAGGCTCTGTGTGTGTTTTCTTGCCTACTCGGAACCCTGTGAACAGCAGAGCGAATGAATGTTGATTTTATAAAGCTTTGTGCTGTGTAGCTAAAGAACATGTTCTGCCTATAATTCTTCTTAGAATTGGGGCAGTTTAGTTCCTGGGTGGATTCTATGGCATGTAGCAGAATTGTTGAACTCCAGCTGCAAGGCATGAAAATGATGCTTTTCCTAGCTATCTCCTTTGATGAAACTTATCATGTAATAGCTTTGAGCTCCATTGTTGCTCTGTCAGATTTGGTTAAAATTACCCACTAGAAATTAAGCTTGTTCACTAGGTGAAATTAACAAAAACTGAAAACAAATCAAATGTTGGCAACTACTAGGGAAAGAGAATACAACCAAAAACATTGTTTTTGCCTGTGGGGCAGGATGTCATCTGAGTAGTGTGGGCAGTTTTAGTCCTTGAAAAGGCAATACAGAGTAATACAGAGAACACTAACAAAGACAATTAAGAGTATGAAACAGGTCCTGCATGAGGAAAGCTTAAAATAAAACTTCACTTGGGAAAAGAGATGAGTTGAGAGAAGGGGAAGATACAATGCATGTCCGTAAAAGGATAAATAGCACGGAGAAGGTGAATGAGGAGGGATTGTTAGGGACAGTGAATGTCCAGTGGCAGATTTGGAAGAAACAAAAGAAGGTTGTTCTTCGTTAATATGTAGCTAAACTCCTTGCCCCATAAATTAAAAAAGCAGAGACAAATTCCTGCCTGAAAAATCCACTGAGAGATAGTAAGCATCAAAACACTGTCTCTGCCTTAGGAAGTCCCTGAGCTGCAAGTGGCCAACTGAATCATAATACCTGTGGAAATTTTATTGAGCTTAGTCACTGGGCATGCAGGGAACTGTTAGACCAGGACGTGAACTAGGTAGCCTTTGCTCTGACCCAGTATGATTGTTCTTAATGACAAACAGGCAGATAGTGTGATCACATGAACCTCAGTTTTTGGAAACGATAAGGCTGCTTATATAATGGAGGGGCTAATAGACTTTTTTTTTTAATAGCATAAGCAAATCCTATAGGAATAGGACTGGAATAGATTTTTCTGGTCCTTAGGGCATTTCCTTAATGTTATGCAATTCTTATCATAAACTTACCAGATTTCCATTTTAAATAATTTATTAAATAGCTTTTATTTTTTACTGAAAGGATATTTGCAAGATATCTAACTCAATGCAAGTGACTTGTAAAAAACTTGCCTTCCAGCTAGAGAATGCTAAACTGTCCTCTGACCAAAATGACAAAGCTGCTGGTGCAGCTCGAGAGGAGTTGAAGGAGGCTCGCATGAGAATAGAAGCTCTCAGCTACCAGCTTTCTGGCCTTCAGAAACAGGTAAAGGGACTAAATTTGCTTTCATCTCTAATACAGAGCACTGTATTGTTTGGATATATTAACATTTCTGGCCTTTCATATTTTCTGAATTTTACGGAGAGAAATCTTTGTTATGTTCATTCAGGAGGGAGATGAATTTTTAACTTTCTTACTGTACCTGCATAGATGCCAACTGGGTTTTCCATTGTGCTGTCTACCTAGGCTAGTGCAGCAGAAGATCGCATTCATGAATTGGAAGAAATGATGGCTGGTGAGCGGGAAAAGTTTAGGAAGATGCTAGATGCAAAGGAGAGGGAAATGACAGAAATGAGGGACCAGATGCAGCAGCAGCTTACAGAGTACCAGGAACTGCTTGATGTTAAATTAGCACTAGACATGGAGATCAGTGCTTACCGAAAACTCCTGGAAGGAGAAGAGGAAAGGTACGTACAGATTCCACATTCTTTTTTTTTTTTTAGGTCTAGCAGGTGTTATTTTCATTTCTTATGCTTATTTACTGTTTGAGCAG